GAGTTATAATCTTTATTTTGGACTATTTTGTAGGGCTAGCGTTGTGTGTTCCAGTGCTAGCTAGGGTTCCATTTTTTTTGCTTTTGCGCAATGATGCTTGACCAAGAAACTTAAAGAAAAGACTATTGATTCCTATTCTTCCTGTTTTCTCTTGTTTGGTTTCTATGCACAGCAAAATGTGAATTCAGAAGCAAACTTCGTGTTTACATCAAAGATTGGTCTCCTTCGACCGGTCAACCGGACTGAAATTCGCCATGTAGTCTCCCCATAAGGCTTACTTTCTGGAAAATAATATGGACTGTATGTAAAAAAGTGAAAGAGAAATAGCGAAAAACTTGAATTCCAACTTCTAATTAAATTTTTTTGGTAAAGTAAAATATTCTCGAAACTGAGAATGTTTTCAGATCAAGGCTGTGTAAAGAGCAAAAAGTTCTTTTAGGTATACATTTCATGTGTGTTTACGTTATATAGGAATCGGTGAATAAAGAGAGAAGGGTCAAGGTGACTTATTAATTAGTTAAATAGCTAATAGGATAAATAACATTTCCAATCTTACAATTCACACTGTTTATGTAACATTTTGTTGGTGAAAATATTCCTAAGATTAAGGTTCACTTTCAGGATCACTGATGGAAGCAAACCGTTCTAAATAGCATTTATCATTGTTCTTTTTTTAATCTTCTCTATGTAGTAGTCTCAGATTTAGTTTAGTGTTTCTGTGCGTTCAATTTTTATTTTCTGCGTCAGCCTTACATTTCTAGGTAAGATGAATAAACAGATTAATCGCTCCGTGGTCTCAAGGCTTTAATATCCCCTCCTTGGATTTCTTTTGCGAGAAGAACCTTGACCAGTTTTTCGTCCACTGGCAATTGAAGGCCTCTTTTCTGTAAGGTCCACGGGATCCTATGTCTGAAAACAATTGCCGTCAGGGGCGCAGCCAGCTTTTTGATTTGTTGTAGCCTCGTCAGCAAGGTAACCCGATAAAACAGTAGACAGATCAGACCCTCAAGACTGTTAATTGCATGCGTAGTTAGTTGAATCTGGAGTATGTATCTAAACTTCAAGATATTGATCTCAATACCACAATAAAAAAGCCCCTTTCTGCAACGATACTTGTTACAGTCAATCCGAATAGCTGAAAAAGAAGTTCCATCCTTCTGTTTCCTGATGCTGCAAAATCGTCATTGATGTCTTCGGCACTGAATGACACATCATGCTTGTGAATATGCATAAGAGCAAATCAGCCCTGGCACCCCAACGAGTATCGCAACCTGTTCACAGCCTAGCTCGTCTTGCCATTTGCTCCTGACTTTCAGGTGTTTCTTTTAACGTCTCCTGAAATTGGTGCTGCCTCTTAGCTGAGAAAGAAAATGAAAACGCAATTTCCTGTACGGTGGACATCATGTTCCTTACAATCCAATGGTTCTTTAACGCTAGGAGATTTAATCTTGCTGCTTCTTTGTTATTTACGGACTCGAAAGTATTTCGTAAGAAATTTAAAAGTGTCTTGCAAAATTTACAAGTCATGACTACCGTGAAAAGTCAGGCGGGCGGAAAGAAAAGTGTAGGCCCGGGCCTACAGGCTGGCTACGCCCCTGTAACATGACGTTATATTAGAAAACATGTTTCATGGGTACTTCCTGAACTAATTTCCCATACATGCTAAGTCTCCCAGGTTGTATGGGAGTCTCCCGGATACGGCACCGATTTTCCACTCTCCCTTACGAAGTAACGGGTCACCAAATCTCCTGAATAAAATCGTCTTTTGAGCTTTTCTGTGCTTTAATGTGATATTTAGATAAGTTTTAACACAAAGTTTGAATCTTTTTTATTCGTAGTACTGTTTCTGGTGCATTTTGCACGTACGTATTTAGTCACTGACAAAGATCATTTTGGCCTAAAAATCGATGATCCCGAATTTCGATAGTGTGTACTTTACGTGAGAATGTCTTAAGCCATTCACATTGAGGGGTGGTTGAATTTGTTGGAGGGGTCCGTTGAAATTCGGGAGGGGGTAGTGAAAAAGAGAGAGTCTCCAGATTTTAGATTCCCAGAGATTTTCTGGGTGATCATATTTTTGAGTGCAAGTGGGTTCAGACTGATTTTCATCGCAACAATAATTTCATTTCGAAAGAAAAGTTTTATTACATTCACATGTTGTTAACATAAGCTGCATGATCACAAATGTTTATAACCCTTATGGTTCTCTTGAGTAAAGTCCCGATGGTTATTCATGTATTTTTATAATTATATAGTATAAACAAGGAAACACCCACCGTGTTTAAATAAAAGATGTTGTTGTTGTTGTTATCAGGGGCACCCAAAGACGGTTTCCTCCAAAATACATTGAAAACACTTTTTAGGCTTTCCAGAGTACCTTTAGATCTCAAAAGATGCGTTTTCAGCGGCATTATAGAATTTGTTCGGTCATCCTATGGGTAGTCGAGTCTTTTCGAAATTACATGGGCTTCAGTATTTAATATTTTCCCGACAATTTTAGATGCAAATTAAGGTCCTGTTTACATGGAGGTAGGGGACCCCAGGTAGGTGAGGTTACCCGCTTAGGTGGGGTAAAAAAATAACCACCATTTACAAGCAATCTTACAACCCCGCCATTCTCAAGATTATTGAATGGTCGCTAAGCACGTAAACAAGAAAAATTCTGGCAAACCACGTGTTTTTTCGATTAATGCTCTTCTACACTCACTGCTGCTCTGGCTGCAACCTTCAGTGCTGTTGCTTTCTTTTGTTACCTTTAATGATGCAAAACCACCGCCAAAGTGAATTTTGCGCGAATTTGATGTATCACGAATCCGACCCCATCCTGGGAGACTCAGGGGCAGTCAGTCGGGCTGGGTTAAAAGGCGCGACAAAAGTTTTTAAGCATGGGCGGAAGAACCCCTGGGCGGACTCTCACCGGACCATTTCCAAACGGTCAAGAGAATGCTGGTTCCTGATTGGGCACAAAAAATGCTTTGTATTATTGTGCCCAATCGGCGAACAGTTTCTCCAGAGTTCTTTTCTTGAGTTCGTACACGACGGCTATTATCCCGCCACAGTTGCCCCATCCTCGGAGACCCAGGAGCAGTCAGTCGGGTCGGGAGAAAAGGCGGAACGAAAGTTTTCAAGTACGGGCGAAAGAGCCCTTGGGTACCGACTCTCATCGAATTATTTCCAAAAATTCAAGCAAATGCCGGCTCCTGATTGGGCACAAAAAATGCTTTGTATTATTGTGCCCAATCGGCAAACAGTTTCTTCTGAGTTCTTTTCGTGAGTTCGTACACGACGGTTATTGTCTTGTGCGTGCACGGGAAACTTTTATTTTCTACTTTCCTAACCAGAAACGAAGGAACTACCGATGAGTCGAAAAAACGTTTGGGATGCTATCAGCAGGAGCAATTCAATTTGCCCCGAGAATATTTCGTTTTTGACTCATTACAATATATCGTAAATAATAGGAAGTTTAAGATGCGGCGGCGACGAGAAAGTCAAAAAAGCAATAGCTTGACAAGGCGAAAAAAACTTTGCACGTGCATCCGTCACACTTTTTTCTACATTTCTTTGCCGTCAACTGCAAGACTACCCGTGAAAATGCCTAATCAGTAATGTTTTGTGAAGGACGTAAACAAACAATGACAAAATTCATTCTCTTCATGAACTTGGATATGGTTGATAGAAATTCAGCTCCAGAGGATTTCGCTTGCATTTGACAAAGTAAGCGAGTTGGAATAATCACGATAGAAACTGAAAACATGTGAATTCCCTTTTCCATGCGACGTTTCCATGGTTGTCAGTCGTCGTGGTATCTTTTAAAAACTTCCTAATATTTACGCAAGACTTGACAGATGCAAGCGTGAATACCTGTTGTAAGCTCAAGCTTGTATTTTTGGAAAAGCGTCAGGACTCTTTATTTTTTGGGCAGACAGTATTTTGAAATCAGATGGGGATTTTAAATCAAATTCTTTGGTGCATGAGCCAGACAAGCCGTGATCGAGACAATAGCCGTCGTGTACGAACTCCCGAAAAGAACTCAGGAGAAACTGTTCGCCGATTGGGCACAATAATACAAAGCACTTTTTGTGCCCAATCAGGAGCCGGCATCCGGTTGAATTTTTGGAAATAGCTCGGTGAGAGTCGGTACCCAGGGGCTCTTTCGCCCGTACTTGAAAACTTTCGTCCTGCCCTTTCTCCGGACCGGACTGACTGCTCCTGGGTCTCCGAGGATGATCCGACCGCGGCTAGGCGGGTTACCCCACCTCGAAACGTTTACATGGCAAAATTTGACCTTGGCTGAGACCGGGCTACCCGCCTTGCGGGTCACCTCACCTATCGGTATATCGGATAATCGCCAGGAGTCTGTCCCAGATTCTCACTCGTGTTTTAGAGAGACGCCATGTTTAATCGTGATAGGGGAACTGGAGCCCAGCAATTTAGGGGATTAGTAATGAGCGAAATCCATCGCCAACGTCCCCGACGGTACAAATTTGGGTTTACATTTGTAGGGAATGATTGCCGACCATCGCAGAAATCTGGGACGCGTCGGGAAAATAGAAACGCTCCCGATTCTCCAGGCGATCGGAGGTATTTACGATTTCGAGGTTTCATTAGTCGGCAAAATCTGGGACAGTCGGGAAACGGTAATTTCCCCGATCGTCTGGGATTACTCCGACATATGAAAACCATTCTTTAGGGTTGATTTCCAGTGTCGCGTAATTTTTACGTGCTTACGTGCGTAAAATTCACGTTCGCAAATAAAATAGAGGCAATGCATGAAAGGTGGCCGCTAACTCTAAGAATTGAACCTCGCTCAACTTCTCGTTTAAGCTCAACACTTTTTATGTTGCCTCTATCTTATTTACGTGATTAATAAAATTTAGGTGCGTTAACCTGCGTAGCCAAAAACGCGTCAGTGGAAATCAGGCTTAAGGGACTCATTTTTCACCGTATTTGTATTAAAAACAACATGATCTTAAGAATATAAACGTAAAGTTAAGGTAGTGCTAATTGAAAACATAAATACAGTTTTTCCCTTTTCCTGTGATAAACAAATTTCCAGTATTAGACAGGGCACAACGTAAAAGCTTACCATGGTGAAAAAAATTTCCGGCTATCTTAGTGATATATTTTCCGTCAAGAGTGAAAAGTTGCAGCTTACAGTTTCCCCCATCGCAAACGATCAACCGGTCAAACTTGTCAATAGCGAGACCAATGGGAAACCTTAACTGTAAATCACCAGATCCCTCGCTGCCAATGTCATACACATACTTACCTTCGTTGTTAAATATCACGACACGGTGACCTTCACAGTAACAAACAAAGAATTTGTCCTGGTGATAAACAACACACCATGGCATACCATCACAACCTGGAGCTCTGAACGACTCAAGTAAGTTCTTCCCATCAGGGCTAAGAACGTTGATTGTTTTTTCAACCATGTCACATGTGATAATGCGACCATCACTCCTCACAGTGATGTACCACGGTTTCTTCGCATGTTCATCGCTAATATATTGAATGAATTGACCACCCTCAGTGTACAGGGGAAGTTTACGGTCGACACGAGCGACAAAGCTAAGGAGGTCACCAGACTCGGTAAAAGCCACCGAATACGTTTCAGCTTCTAGCGCAATCTCTCTCAGGAAATTCCCATCAAAATCAAACATCTGAACTCTCTTATTGTATACATCAGCAACAGCAAGCGTTCTACTATTATCATTCACAGCAATATCCAAAGGCTCGTTAAACTGTCCCTGCTGTTCCCCTCCTGATCCAAACTGAAACGCAAATTGATACTGATGCGGAATCACGTGTACAACCCAGGGACTACCAGTCAGCGGCTGTCCATTAACTTGGATCTCTACTCTATGTTGTCCAACACACTGTGGGGTGTATGTTACTGTGTATTTGCCGTCTTTGGTGTCTTTTATTTCTGTTTCCAGTAGATCACCTTCTGGAGTTGAAATGTTAACTTTTACTTGATCACCTTCATGAAAACACTGCATTCCACCTGAATCTCTGGTTACAATGATGAAATTTGCCACTGTTTTTTCTCTTACAAGTTCTTGATTGTCCACTTCCGCTAAAGACAGCAAAGAATCTGTATTACTAACCACAATTCGGTCCAAATCCTGATACAGTTGATTTTCGATTATATAATGCACGTGCGGTGGTTTATAAATGTCAGGTTTTGTTACATTTAAAAGTTCTTCACAGCGTCCAACAATGATCTGATTTGTTTGAAGAATCTCGGCGCTGACGTTTCTTTCTAGTGCGCTTTCACCTCGCTCAATGCAGCTTTGCAGTTGAGTCAAAACCAACTCAAAGTTTTCTAGTCGTGTCGCGTGATGTTTTTGTTGCGCCTCATAAATTTCAGCAAATTTGGCTTTCATGACCCTCTCATGTTCCCGTAATTCACGGATACGTTCCTCCACGGCATCTGTCATCTTCTTTTCCGCTGACAAAATCTCATTTTTGGTTTTGTCCATTAGCTCGGTTTGTTTCCTTATTTCGTTCTCGTAAATTACAGTTTCCGCTTTCACTTTCTCCAAAACGTCCTTCATTTGCATCTTCTGTACTTGTGCAGTTTTCTGAGTATCTGTCATGGTGTGTCGATTATGGCCCACTACACTACATTTGTGGCAAATAAGAACTTTGCATTCTTCGCAATAAAATTCCAGCGGCTGATTTTCGTGATATTGCTGCGAACACATGACGGGTCTGTGGATCAACTCTTGAACATCTTGCACATTTAATTTCTCTATCACAACATTGTGATGACCTCTTGTGGTCTTCAGCCGCTGATGAGCTTCAAAACAAGCAGTGCAGAGGAATACTTGGCAGACGAAACAGTAAGAGAAAGCTGTATTGTTTTCATCACAGCTGCTGCATTTCTGGGTCTGTGTGCCGCCATCTTTAAGAGCGAGAACATCCACCAATCGGTTGAGATGATAAGATGTAGGCAAATTCTTGAACGAGTCTCCTTCAGGAATTTGGAAAGATGTCTGACAAACCGGGCATTTGATTGTCGCTTGTAGCTGTTTTCTTGCAAAATTTGCGTGTTTGTCAAGACACTCGAGGCAGAATGAGTGAATACATGGCAAAGTCTTGGGATTATTGACTGTCCCCAAACACAGTGGGCATTCAGCTTCCTTCTTAAGAATTGTAAAGAGCTGTTGAACATCCATGGTGAATCTAGAGCAGCCAAGCGATGGCTCCTTGAGATCATGTGATTCAGTGGGTGCGGTGTGACCAGATAGGACTCAGTGTTTTTCAGTGACACAGCTACTTTTGTCATTGTATAGCTGACATGAATCCAAGCGAAGCGAAACACAATGAACAAAAAAAGAAAGAGGAAAAATGGCGTCAATTGGTTAACTGAAGTGAAAAAAATAGAACTGATGAATTTAGGACTTGCAGTTAGTCGACGGCTCAGGTTATCCCAAGCTCGCGTTCGCCTCAGTAACTTATGAAATGTTTATACAAAAATAAGCAGTAATGAATGATAAGACGTTTATGGCAATTATTCGGGAAAGTCAGCGAATCAAACACGGTTCTCGAGCGAGAAAGATACGCGTGCGCCACTCGCCCCACATTGCACGATTTGCGATTTTCAATCCGGAACGAAGTTCGTTTTCAGTCAGCACCTGATACCAGAATGAAATTTCGTACAAGAACGAGAATTCCATTCGGATTGAAAACCGGAATGACTTGAACAGGAACGAAATGTCGTTTCCGAGGTACTGAGAAATACATGGAGATGGAATGAACTCGTTTCAGAATGACAGTCATTCTGGTATCACGTGTATAGCCCCCAACTCCATCCTTAAACCTAACCCTAGCCCTACTCTTGACCTCGATTACTCTAAATCTAAACCCAACTATAAACCTTTACGCCGGTCCAAAATAGAACCGCGAGCCTCAAAACTGTTTCCTGTCGTCAGTTGATGTTCACGACATGGACTTGGAAAAAGTTGGGCCAACTTTTTCAAGATTGGCCAATCGTGCTGCAATATAACGTCAAAGCGAAGTATCGACTGAGTTCTAAGAAAGTTCTCGGGCCGTCAGTTTTTTCACCTGAGCGTTCGCTTTACCAGCCAAAAGCCACGCGCGTTTGTATCCGTTCGATAAACCAATCAGATCGCTCTATTTCGATTAGTTCGTTGTTCCTGTTTTGTTCACGCGTTTTCATTTCAAGGTCATACGAAACTCGTTCTAACCCCGGGTTAGTGCTAATCGGCCTTCAAACATCTGGGCCCTGGTTAACTCGGTGTATCACTTGACACAGGAAAAAGGAGCATACTTAGTGACTAGAAAAGGGAAAGTTATAACGATTTTTTACAGGAATCATTTCTGCTAGTTATCATTATGGTACCGAATGTCTACTCTAGTTTGACACGCTTTGATAAGGCAGTTAATCCCAACAATAACAGTCATCACTAAGGAAAACCCAGCCCATCTTTATTGTTTAACATGTACCCTTTGGTAGTTGCACATATAAAAACAATAGTAAAATTTCCATTACTGCAACATCTGCCACTTTCGCACCGCTCACATCACGACTATTACTTCAAATTTTCACATAGGCATAACAAAAGTTTTAAGAGAAATTGAAGCCATGCTTATGCAAACTTTTGGGGTAAATAGCCTATAATTATTATGGGCAATGCAAATGTGGAAATTCTCACCCTTGAACAGGACATACGTGTTTTGGATACGGGATCATTACCGTATACGTTTCTGGGAAACTGCCCACCTACCCCTCCCCTAAGCCAACATCAACACTTACATCTCACCTGAGGCAAAATGTTGGCTTTGGGGAGGGGTAGGTTGGCAGTTTCCCAGAAACCTATAACTGTTTTTGACCAAGAGTGAGCTCAAGATGGCTGGATACAGGTCATCTGCAGGTAACGTCCTCACAAAAGAAATAAAGGAACCCAAAAATAGAGTTCTCCTGAGGGCTATATTGTTTAGCTCAAATCGTTTCTTATGTTGTAAGTAATCTGTGCCACGGTACCTACAGAAGGAACCGGATATTGGTCAAGTTCTTTTTTTGGACCATTTTTACCGACTGGGACGAAGTCGAGGTCAATAAAGATGTAAAAACGAACAAAAGACACATTGAGTCCTGTTCAAGTGTGTGCCGCCACAATAGTGTTTTTTTTCAGGACCAACACGCGAAATCACGAGTAGGCAAGAGGCTTGCCTGCTCAGGGTAGAAAATCATAATTCAGGATTTGACTCATTTTGCCCATCTACGGATTCAGACATACAATAATATAACAATCACTGGTTACAGTGGAACGTCGGTATAACGAACGATCTTCTCCCAGTAATACGTAAAATATATGAAAAACAACCTTGATATAACGAAACCTCGTCATAGCGAACAGATTTTGCCAGTCCCTTAGCACTTCGTTATATCGAGGCTCCACTGTAGTTACCTGCATAGGTCATCACGAAACTAGTAGACAGAAGTAGTGTGTTCAATGGGCAACTTGAGGAAGAACTACCCCAACTTTATATTTCACAAAATAAGATACCTTTCAAAACAAATATATGTTCCATTCTTTTTAGGTATGATAATGTATGCTAATGAGTTTGAAACAAAGGGAAAACAAAAATGAACTGAAATAAAAATTTAACTGCAACATATACATCTGTGTTTTGCAGGCATGAATCACTTCAAAAAATCAAATTTTACTTTTTGGTCTTTTTTAAGATTCATTGAACATTTATATTATTTTTTGAGAGAAGAGAATTCAACCCCTTAAGTACTCAAGAATATAAAAAGCCAGTACAGTACACTATTTTAGGGGAAATTCCCACTTTTCTCTGTCGCCACTGTAGTCGTTTAGTCTCTCCCGACCTACAATTAAAATATATTTGAAGATGACGTACATGTCATATTTTCGTCAAGTCCTGTCCCTCACGGTCAATTGTTTAAAGTTTTCTCTCATCTTTTTCTGTTTCTTTTTTTAGCATACAATACCCAACACTTTACACTGTACACTTTAGACAAGATGAACAATCACAACAACAATTTTTTAACGTGGCTTTTCCCCACTGTTAAACCTGACACAAATACTCACAGTGACCATGGACATTATTTTCTAAATTAATCATTTCTATTTGTACTTATGTGTTTTATATGTTAAAAGATATTAAACACTTAACTACAGAAATATGTGATTTTTCAAAGCGTTCTGGCAAAGATCATGGTGTCGGGTGGTGGCTGCTCTTTGAGCTGAATATTGTAAAATCCTAGTTTGCTGTAGAAGTCAAGAGCATTGTTGTTTGTGGGTGTAATTTCACAGTGGACACCAGTGCAATCTTCAGCTTTTAGAGCAGAGAGAACACAAGCTAAGAGGCGCTTGCCAAGACCAAGGTCCTGTTGTAGAATAAAAAGAAAAAAGAACCGTATGAAAAAATGTTTACAAACTTAAAAAAAAAAAGACTATATAGGGATAGCAAAATTACTGGTAACACGGTAGTTTTCATCGTCGACCACAAATAAGGACAGAAACATAAACGAAATGAACTTTAAAAGGCTAAGATTTCCAACTGGCCGGAGGCAAATAAGTTGGCTACAGTCAACTCTCTTTAAGAAGGACACCTTTGGGACCGGCACTAGCTGTCTGTCTTAGAGAGATGTCCGTCTTATAGAGAGTCAAATAGAGGGAGTAAAGAAAGGCAGGGACCAACTCTGGCTGTCCATTTTACAGACGTGTCCGTCTTATAAAGAGTCAAATAAAGGGAGTCAAGAAAGGCAGGGACCAACTCTAGGTGTCCGTTTTACAGAGGTGTATGTCTTATAGAGAGTCAAAATAAAGGGAGTCAAGAAAGGCAGGGACCAACTCTAGCTGTCCATTTTACAGAGGTGTCCGTCTTATAGAGAGTCAAAATAAAGGGAGTCAAGAAAGGCAGGGACCAACTCTAGCTGTCCGTTTTACGAAGGTGTTCCTCTTATAGAGAGTCAAAATAAAGGGAGTCAAGAAAGGCAGGGATCAACTCTAGCTGTCCGTTTTACAGAGGTGTCCATTAAGAGAGAGTCGACTGTATTTACAAGCATGGTCGAGGAGTGGAGTCAGGACTACCGAGAACAAGTCCACCGAACAAATCTGAGAACAAATCCAGCCAGCGGTTAGGGCAGGGATTGAACTCAGGGTCTCTGGAATGCAATTCCAGTGCTCTGACCGCTCAGCCGCACTGAGGCCCAACGTTTTCTTCATTAAAATTTTTGCTCCAAAGACTCTTTATTTTTTATTTAAGCAGGGTTCAAAGTGGCAGCCAGCACTTTGACCACACTTATCGGCACCTTTTCACCGAAGGAATAGAAATGTCATGCTTTGAATGGTTAACTGAAATCGAAGTCACTGTAATGTTGTAAATTAAACATTTCATATCAAACAGTAAATCAGCCAAGAAACGTTTTAAAAACTCTTTGGAAATGTTGAGAATTGATTAAATGATAACTTGAGTGAAAATGCTTTGACCTTAAAACAAATTCTCTCAACTAGTTTTTCAAGGAAACGTATGGAGACCAGTGTAGAGAATTTTTATGTTGATAATGGGGCTTAACTGAATGCAAATTAACTGTGACATACCTGTGCACGTGGCAGAAGATAAATTTGAACATGAGCGCTATACTTGTTACACAAGTCTGGAGGAAGAAAGATACTTGGATTGTGGAAACTATTGGCAAGTTGTTCCGCATAGGTCCACTCTGATGGATTTCCCTCCGGCATTTGGTATTTCTTGCACACCTAGAAATGAACCTAAGATCAACTCTCACATTCCTTGTTGGCAAGATTATGGATAATGTTATAGAATATTGGTGACCATGGGTTAACACAAAACTGTATTTACAAGGTTGAGGGACATCTTGGTGAAATAAAAGGGTAATTATTAGAAGAATTCTGGTTCCTAACCCTAACAGGCTACCCAACAGTACCAGTAGAGGTTAAGCATAGGTTAGGTTAAGGTTAAGGTTAAAGGCATGTTTATAGTGGAAGGTGCACTTAGCTAGTCAGCTAATTTACAGGCACTCCACTCAAATATTTAGAAACAAATAATTCAAATACAACATAACAGGATTAAAAACCCCAACTGGCAAAAGGCAACCAGTTGGCTATTTACAAGCATGGCCGAGAATTTAAACTCGGGACGACCGAGCACAAATCCAGCAAGTGGCCAGAGCGGGACTCGAACCCGGGACCGCCGGATTGCGAGTCCGACGTGCTGACCACTCGGCCACGCTGCCTCCCATCCTTACAACTCATGCTACTTCTTAGCACACTATTGCAGTCAAATGACATCAACCTATAAAATGTCCTATTACCCTTTTCCAAAAAGACCATTTGCTTTTCTTGTCAATGATGTATTAAAAAAAAACACCAGAAACGGTGCTTATACATGTAGGCTAGTTCCTCAGAACTAACCCTGCAAAATAAATAAATATATACATATACACGTACCTCTGGAAGCCAGTGTTTTTTAAACTGTTCATAAAAGTGTTTTGAATCAGATGCTGCAACTGCAAAACCACAAAGGCCATCACCATCCTCAACAACAAACACATGCTCAGGGCAGAGCTTCAAATAAGGACCAACAAACCTAAAACAAAGAAACAAATCATAGCTTAGTTGTCAATAAGAACAAAGTCCAATAATTTAGCAAATCAACTACACAATTGGGCCCAATTACCAGCCATTTTGTGTGTGCCTGCATCCTTGGGTGGATTACTAGTCTTGCCTATTGTTATCTTTAACCAATCAGAGACTTGCCTGCCAGAAGGCAAGTCTCTGATTAGCTGGCCCCAGTTGTTCAAAAGGTGGATAGCGCTACCACCGGATAAATCACTATCCAGTGAATAAATCACTATCCAGTGGATAAATATTAGGGAAACCAATTTGCCCTATCCAGTGAATAGAGATTTATCCAGTGAATAGTGCTTTCCACTTTTGAACAACTGGGGCCTGGTCTAGTAAATGCCGCATGGTGTGCTCCTACCAAGACTGCAGGGAGTGAGGAGGTGATGTCTAAAAGAGACATTTGCTGTTCTTTTCGAAAATACGTCTCATAACTTTTAAATTAATTGATGATGCACCCATTGTTTTATGTCTTTGAAGCTCATACATTTCACATACTGTTAATATTACTTTATTTAGAGGATATCACATGGTGGTGCGAAGATATGAATTTTATTTCCGAGTGGCAAAACAATTTTTGCCGCTTGAAAATAAAATTAATATCGTCAAGCCGCCGTGTAATGTTCTTTTTATTATATAGACAAAATGACATCAATAAAATAATAGAGGGGAATTACCAAAATTACGTCATCAATAAACTCGTGTAAGATTATGGAAAATACACCACTCGGGTCCCGGATGTAGTTTTTATGAATTTTACGACTGGTATATTTTCCAGTAAAACACTCGTGTCTATATAATAAGGAATATGTTACTAAAGAGGAAAGAGTCACACCTACATGTAGGTTGCCTAGCCCATTGTTGGAAGGGGAATGCAAATCAAATTCCCTTAAATAGCTGAAAATCGAGCATACTGCACAATAGTAGTAAAGAATAAAGTTTAAACCTTTCAACAGACTCTGGAATCAGTCAGTACAGTTTTGCAATGTACATAAAGGATCTTCTGTCTTTTTTCCTCTGACCCCTTTTTTATGGCTCTATATTTTTTCAGTTTCAAAAACATGACTGAAAGAAAATGACATACACCAACAAATTTGGAATCAGAGAAAGCTGATTCAAATTGCAGTAAGAGAGCTGCAAATGAATTCTTACACCACTGTATCACCAACCTGTCTCCTGCCATGTTGAATTGTTTGCAAGGGAATAAATCATGTCCATCTTGCCAATCATCACAAGTTGACACACAAATTTCATACAGTGATTTCTGATTTGAAAAAAGGGAGAAAAGAAATTGCCATTAATGTAAAGGTCTTTCCCTTGTCATGAGTCCTTTTTTTCTGTGCAAGTAAACCACTATTTTTGGAAAAGAAAAAAATAATCAACTTGATTGGCACTGAAAATAGTTACTGCAAAATGCTTGAGCAATCTCAGCCTTAACCCTTTAAACCGTAAGATCATAATCTGAACTCTCATTTGTTGTCCCTATTCATTTCCTACAGAAGTAGCGGGGAGAAGTTGACAAAATACCAAGCAAATTTATCTTGTGTGATTAGTATAGGTAATAGCAGGATTTGTAGTGATATTTGATATAAATACCACGAGTGATATTTCGAAATTGTTATACGAAATTTCACGAGCCGTTAGGCGAGTGAAATTTGAAACAGTTTTTGAAATATCACAAGTGGTATTTATGCCAAATATCACGTACAAATCATGCTATTATTTGTTTATACCACTACCCGCAAAAGGTTTGTAATTTTCACATGTAGGTATTTCAAATTAAGCTGAAATACCACTGCTCTAAGCCAATCAAATTGCAGAAATTTGTCATGTAGTGGTATAATGTCTGTAATTCTCATGACCACTCTCTTTTACAAAGCATTGATACCAGGAGAAATTTGATGCTGCTCACTCTTAGGGCTTAAAGGGTTAATGGCATTCCCATATGCATAGAAATCATACCATCCAAATCAATCAAGACTGAAGGTTTTTTGTATTGTCTATAGGCAATGTGTGTGGCCTGTGTGTTTTGAATAAAAGAAAAGCAACTACAGCTGCACCCGTAAGAGGCACCATGTAAATGCTTTGTTCATAGTGAGAAAGCAGTAAGGTTTTTTCAGTGAGTTTATTTCAGGCACTCAACTCAATATTATAAATGCATCAAAAGGGTGTGTACCTCGTCATTAGGTTGGTAAGGTCTGATAGTAGAGATACATGTAGTAGGAACTTCTGGAGCCCTCAAGCTGAATACTTCATGTCCCCCATCAATGGGTAAAAGCCGCTGTAAACAAATTAAAAAAAATTAAACACATTTACAACTGTACATTGTAAATTACTACAGTGGAAGCTCTCCTAACGGACACCCATGTAAGCGGACAGCTCCACTTACAGCCGCCTTCACAAAACCCTATTTTTGACAACTCAAATACAAATTCTGTATTTTTACATTCTGTAAGCGGCCAGCTCCAGTTACAGACAGTCATTTTGTGCAAATAGTCATGGCGAGTCATGGGACCCATCTTGTGAAAAATCACGAGTCCCTGTCCATAACCAGGGAGTCCCAGTTGATAAGAAAAAAGAGTCCTAAATTGAAAATGCTTGGGGCCTTTGTGTAACCAGACAGTTAATCTGGAGACAGATGCCAAACCTCCTGATTGCAGTTTACTGAGATTAAAATGTAGTCTGTCTACATTTTAAGCACAAAAAGGACTAAAATAAATATGCATCATTAAACAACAGCCACAGAAATCACATGAACAGGATATTCTACCAAAAGACCTTCAAATCGATCTATCGTTCTTTACGTCCTATGGCACGCATGCCATAAATTATTGCTCGTCTTGTGGGATTTTTATGCGTCAGGGATGCAGGATGCAGACGTAACAAAATCACTGTACAGACACCTTTTTCACGTCCCGAAGGTGTCTGCTCATGAAAGCTTCCACTGACTGTATTATCTCAAATACAGCTATTTTGAGAAAGGTTGTCGGAAAAAGTGTGCATGCGACAAACCCAAAAGGTAATATGGGATATGATTGATACACTTTTCCTGACGATGTAGCTGTCAAACTCACTTTTGTTGCTTTCCTTTAGTAATCGCAAACATAATTCCATGGCCTCTCGTGCCATTCTTGCAAATGTATTTGAAGAACAGTGAACTCAAAACCACCCATAATACCTTTCGGGATTGTCACATGCACTTTTTCTGACAACCTTTCTTGAAATAGCTGTATACATGCACACACATCTATGACCTCTGATTCTGGCAAATTTCAAGATTTAAATAAGTGGAATTGTTTTTCGCTGCTCCATATTTAGTTTGAACAATTAAATGTTCCTTATCAGTTGAAAAAGGGTGGTGTCGACATTGTAAACAAAGAAACAAGAATTGTAAATATTGCTTAATCCTTGAAAAAAATGGCTTACATCTACAAAAATGGTATTGAATGGTATCATGAAACACATAATTGCTGTACTATGCTCTAGTGTATCTCAGGCACACTGACCTACATAAAATAAATGATGGTCAAGTTTTGGTCACACTGTTGTGTTTTGTTTGTCTCTAAGGCAAGTGTTCAAATACAGCCACTGTACTCCTACACGTTCAGTAGTTGTATTAAATTACAACCAAGTTTCAGTTGTGTGCATGTATGCAACTTATGGGTTACGCACAACTTAACTACTCCGCTATTCTACCTCTCTTCATGCCCACAACCACCACATACCTGCAGCTCTCCACACAGTCCTCCCCTAAACACCCATGCTTCAGGGTCCTCAGGGAAAAAGCTTTGTTCTTTCTGCTTCCTTCTCCTGTTCTTGGTGCTCAGCCAACTAACAAATGTATCCAGCAGCTGCAAGACTTCCTTGACATCCCACACATATGGATAAAGGTCATACAGCAGTGCCCTATTGGACGTCTCTGTCAGTCGCACAAACATTTCTTTAACTGACCGACAGATTTCATGGAACTTCTCAGCTCTGTCATTCCACTCAGTCAACTAGGGTTCACAGAAAGATTTAACAATGTTTCAGTAATCAATGACTTTATCTAAGTATAGCTTGTACTCATCAAAATAAGATATTGGCAACTTACAAAATGTACTTCAAAATGTATTATATGTGCAACAGCTCAGATTAGCGTATATATTTGTCATCACAATTTTAAATATTGTATTTGAAAATCATCACTGCTGTTACAGATGTTATATTACATCCAGATGTTACTATATTGTCTGCACTTTCCCCTTTGAACTTCGTAATCTCTGAAACCTGGGAACTCTTTCTTTGACTTAGCATTTTTCAAACTGGTTTAGTTTTAATTTTTCTTTGTCTCAGATCCAAATAACAATTAAAGTGGTATTGAAAACTTGAAACCACAGATATCAAGATTGGTCTTCTTCAGAGATGGGGGTGGGGGGGGGGAGGGGGGGGAGGCGGGGGAGGCTAGTGTTTTCCTGTATAGCCAGTAGTGTTAAGCTACTACAGTGCAAATTTTAAAAGGTTAGTAATGCAATTTAAAAGTCTCGATATGTTATTGCAAATTATTAAAACATATATTGCCCAGGGTTGTCAAAAGTAGCCGGCTGCTGCTTGGTTAGTATTGGCCAGCTAGTCTGCTTAGCATTTCTTTATGGATGATGTTTTTTAAACAAAATATCCCTGGTCTGGCTGCTTACTTTGACAACTAAGCCGTCTACTTCAAAACTTTCTGACAACCCTGATTGCCCTGGGTATTTATTTTGGAAGTGCAATACTGGGGATCATACCTTAGTTTTCTGCTCTTGTTCAGTAAGTTCCATAAACTCCTCTGAATCTTCCTTAATAGCATTAAATTTGAGCCACTTAAAATCAGCTATGATCTGCTTGGCCTTCTGACCATGGTTGTAGGGTAAGTAGAATAAATCTACCAACAGCAGAAGGTCATCAGCACTGAGTGGTGTCATCGCAGGCTTGTCCTTTTGTTCAATTATATCCATTGGCATCATCTCCTGCTCTTTCTTTTCACTCTCTTCGACTTTCTTTTCTATGTGATTTTGAACGATACAATATTAGAAGATTAAGTCGCGCTACAAAGCAAGGGTATGGTGAAAACAGAAACCAATCTATTGGTTTTAATACTGGCTTAACATTTAATAGTTTTCATAGTATTACAACAGAACCCTATAAATTTACCAACACTGGGCAATAAAATCCTGGTTGAATAACAAGGTGGTCCTATTAACAGGGTCTCCAAAATAAAAAGAAAGTGACTCTGTGGTCTTTACATTTAGGTTGAAAGAATATGGTTGCAATAATGAGGTGGTTGTAACAAGGAGGAGGGGGAAGGAGGAGGGGGGGGGGGTCCACTTAAATCATACATGTGTGTAGTTGTGGTGAAATCATGGAAATGCAATGCAGAAACATACTAAAAATTATAGACTTAAAAACTCTAGCATGAAGAACCAGAGGGATGCCACATGGATGACGCAACCCACTGTTTGAAAGAGAAACACTTCTCAACATTGAACATAAATATTTATGTCAGATGAACCTATGAAGTGATTTGTCACAGAATCTTTGAAAATGAAAAAATTGAATGGTAGAGCGCCCGTCCTTCCAAAACATCTCTGCTGACCGACTGATGAGTACACGCACTGAAATCACCAAAGCCTGACACAGTGCTCAGGTAATCAAGGGAATTTTGCGTCAAGTTTGTCAAATACAGTCTAACCTCTAACTTTTCTATCACGGACAGTTTGTTTGGTCCCAGAAAAGCCAAAAATCATACATTCCCTCCCTCCAAAATACAGACACCTCTGTAAAGTGGACACTTGGTTCTGTCCCTTTGGTGTCCGTATTAAAGAGGTTTGATTGTACATATTAATACTCCTTCTTTGAATCTTTAATTTTGTATTAAAAATCATTTTGCTTGGGAAGTTAATTAAAAAATACTCAGAACGCAAGTCTGGTAGGTGACATGAGGACACTTTCATGTATGCAGGGTTTTTCTAAAACAGTGGCCTATCATAGTGACTGCCATATTACCAAGCATCAAAATCTTAGTCTGACATGCAATAAGATGCTACCTTACCTGGAGACAATGAGCTGTTAAGTTTTTTTCTGCTATTCTCTTTTGCAACCTTGATAGGGGAAGGAGTTACCACAGGGGAACACACAGGAACTGTAGTGCTTGTAGTTTTTGTACTCGTTGTAATGGGAGCTTGTGCTTGCACAGGCATAGGCTCTGGGGTCATACTATAGGGACCGCTCTTAGCATAGGTTCTGGAGGAAGCACTCTTTACTTTAGAAAATTCCTTAAGCCAGGCAGACACTGCTTCTTGCAAAGCACTTTGAGGATCATAAGATGTGCGACTTGAGACACTTTTACCCAATGAAGCAACACTTTCTGTGTCCATTTGACCTTCAACTTTAACGACCTCACTACTTGCTCCACTAGCAGCACCATCCTGAGAATCTTCCTGATCAGTCTTTTCACCAGAAACGCTATTAACACTTCCTTCAACATTAGACAGATCTTCTTCCATTGGTTCCATAGAACCACTTGACTTAGGATCAATGTTCATTGGTTCCTCTGCAGAAACTAATGATGCATCCCTCAGCCATGATGCAAGAGTGTGGACAGCGATAAAGTTACTTTCAAACTCGCAATTAGGGTTTGTCAGCACACCATTCAACATGGGGAAAAGCTCAACTGGCCTGCCATCATATGGACCCAAGAACACTCGTCTTTGATCATAATCATTTGCATGGATATTATCCCAAATGACAGGTCTTCGTTTAAGCACATTTGTCAGGGTCTCAATAGTTTGAGTGCTAATTATTTTGGAGACTACCTTTGGTCCTAAAAATAAGTGAAGCAACATGATAAGAGTAATATTGTGATATGTGTGATTACACACACAGAGAGACACACAGGCTGCTATATACAGGCACGTCTAGTCTTTCTTTCCCTAAGCCAGCACTTTGTTTCACATCAGAAAACTAATTCTTGGTAATTGGCAATTGTAAAAAACTAACCAACTCAATTCATTCCCTGCAAACAGTGAAAGTAGAGCATAAAGCCAATGGAGTTTGTTGCTGGTGGATCACAATTAATAGTTTCATCAAATCATTACTTTTATCAGCTACAGTAAGCACAGACTTTGGAAAATGGTCAAAACTAAGTTCTCTGACCAGGGTGACAACCTCCATCAAGCTCAAGCTTTAGTTTCCTGCATTGAAGGCAAGTGAAATGAATTCTCTTGTTGATCTTTAGCCTTCAAATACAGCTGTCTCTCATCACTTCTTGCCACTTGGGACAGTTTACAGGAGAGATGTCTGTGCCTCAACAACAGAAATGCCATACTGATGACCTAAAGCCTGTCAAGAATCTGGTCAGGAGCTCTGATTGGTCTAAGTAGTAATAATATTTTGTTGATATTTTCACTTATGACAGTCAAAAGACAAAATGGTCACAATGATCAAAATTGAATGTAAATGTGACAAATCTACCAACAAACAGTCAATATTCCTGGAGTATACTCCTCTTCAAAAGAAGCATTTTGCATTTAGTTGGTACTCATTCACAGTTAATAGAGGAGGAAAAACATTAACTTGAATAAATTTACATTTGGAGCCCCATGACTACCAGATTAATATTATTATGAAAACACTGATTTATGTCATCGGTATGGTACTTCTGTTGCTGAGGTGCAGAAGTCACTCCCACGAAAAGTCCCAAGCAGGGAGGAGTGAGGAGAGATGGCTGTATTTGCAGGCCACTGGTGCAAAGAAAGTCATTTTTAAAGCTTGCCATTCGGGCAAGCTGAAGCTAGCACATAATAGCCCAAACGTCATTTCAACTAGCCCCAAAGCATTTTGATGAGCAGAATTGATTTTAAAGTTCTTCTGTTACTTGAATTCCTCAAAAAACTTCACTTGCTTGTCAGGCAAGTTAACAACAAAATAACTAGCCCTATAGCAAAATCCACTAGCTCCAGGCTATCGGACACTACTTCCTTTGCACGCTGCAGGCCAGTTGATATTCAAAGTTGGGTCAGTTACAATGCAGTCTAGGCTTATGAGATAATACCATCATGAAATACGTGAGAGTTTAGATGGACATGGCCATTAGACAAAACAAAGCCTTCACTCTCTTCATTTGGGACTAACCTTGCAATTTTGCAGCCCAGAAAACTAGAACATTTGTCACTGGGTTGGTTTGTATAACCATTTACCACACAAAACAGATCAACACTACACAGAGACCACAAAACAACAACGACAACACTGGACAATCACAAGACATCACAAAAATGTAAAAAGCATTTATGCAAAGCACCATGCTGCAAAATGCAAATAAAAATAATATTGTATTCAATCTTTGTTCTTCTGTAAGCGGAAACAAAGAAGATTAGATGTGGGCAAATCTCTTTCTTTTACAATCAAATTTACTGACAGAGGAATAATTTTTCATTTCTCTGCCATTCTGGAGGAATATATTACAGCTACATGTACATTGTATATGAAAACAAATGTCTCTTTCAGGTTGACTTTGCCACTCTAACCCAATCACAATTTTGAAAGAGAAATAGATCTGGATCTGTCTTTGTTTCCAGCTTTCAAGGGAAAACAAACACTGAAATTGAATATTATTGTGTTTCAACTGTTCCATGACACAGAGAAGGACCAATCTTTTGTTACTACATAAAACCTTTCTGCCACCATAATAATGTTGATACTTATCTCAGTATACGTGTTTGGGTATGAAGACCCACTGTTACAACGTTCCATTCATATTTTGTTCAGCAAAATGGTTTCATTTAATAAACTCAAGATAGCCTTCTGCGTGTTAAAAGAAGCCTATACTTTCAATGTTATTTGCCATAATGTCAATTTGCAGTTACAAAAAAGAAGGCCAAAGATTTTATTTCATGATTAACAAAACAAAACAGCTTTGAGCCAAGCATCAACAAATTGGGTCCTTACAGACTGTAGGTCTCGCTGATAATTACCAGTATTGGTCTACTCATTTTGCAACAACTGCAAAAAACATCACTGACAGTCAAACTTTTTTGACATAACTGACCATTGAAAAGCCATGAGAGGCTTGAGCTTTATTTCTGAGAAAATTGGTGCAGTTTATTTGGTTTAAGTTAAATTACCGGTAGTCGAGAGTGAAGGAGTTGTAAAACAAAATGGCGAGCCGCACTGGAAACGAGGTTCCAAAAATTTGTTTTCAGTTTTGGGATTAGTTAAATTAACCCTGAAACAAAGGGATGGTAGCATTTTAAGACTGGCAGACTGCAAAGTAATAACCAAACCTGGAATATGCATACTGTGCGCACTTGATTAGCACATCAACATGCTTGCAAGACATACTTCCCCTGTTTTTGAGAAAATCAGAATAAGGTGGCATAATTATTTCATTGGAGATACTGTGCTACAATTTTCCAAATAGACAAGGGAACACTGTTTACTCATGAAAAGTGTGCCAGATAACTTCCGTCAACGTTTGATAGAAAAAGTTGCTTGAAAAGCAATTTGACTTCGAAGAGGTCAAACCTCCTGCAAGAGGCTAGGGAAATGTAATCCAGCAGGCATGTTCTGGGTTACAGTTTATATTTTAAAGGAAATTAAACTTTCTTTGAGTTGGTTAATTTGACACAGTTTTTAAAATCTTGTTTAAATAAGTTATATGACCTAGCTTGTTTTGTTGTTTATTGGTTCAAAATTTCTCTGATCAAACCAATACTGGCATCAGAGGAACTTTAAACTAAAGAATGCACTGAAGTTATAAATGAAACACATGAAGTCATGAATAATTTATGTCAGCTTTTGGACGATTCTGTTTGGCTAGCTGGCCGGCTGGCAGGAAAGGAAAAACTAAGATGTAACTGTACCTTCAACCAAGCATAGAAGAATCAGGAATGTCCATCACCAACACTGCTAAATGAAACAGTACATGTTGACAACAATGCCAAAACACATCAACAGATAAATCAAAATGAAAATCAAACAAAATCTTTTCATTTCAAAACAGTTTACCTGTCCACATAATGTTGATCTTCGGATCAAGTTTATTTCCCAAAGTGATCAAGTAGTCTGATGTCTCAACAGTTGGAACAGCTCTTGTGCCACAGTACTCTAAATGCCAATAATAATACTAATACAGTCACTACAAGTTGGCAAGAGCACTTTTATTTACACTACACCAATAACGTCATACACAAACAAGGTGAAAATTGGAAAAAAAGGGTAGGGGAAATGTAAATGTACGTGTATCTTCAGATGAAATTTAAAATTTTTTTTTTATTAATGAAATACTAGGTACGCCTTTCCCTGAAAACATTGTGAAAATAACATATTATCCTTATACACCTGTCCTTGAAAAGATCACTGTTGCTTTGGCTACATAATAAATTAACAACTTTTGCCACAAGAAGTTATTAGAATGAAATAGTTTGGTGTTTCATCGGTGTTAAAAATAAAAATATATATATACCAGTAACATTACACAATCAGCTGGAGATACAAAATTTCTCTTTTTGTGTTGGACAACAACAATAACAACCTCTAAGTCTCCAGCTTTTATCTTGCAGAAAAACAACATCACTTAAAGCTAATTTAATAGTTGGAGTTAAGATATACATTTGTACCCCTATGAAACACAAAATTAAGGAAAATTGTACGATACAATACAGACGGAATTTTACAAAAACCACTTGTAATTGAAGTAACATGGGGAGAAGTTACCTGTTGGGCAAAAGAGAAAGCTTGGACACCCCAGATGTTTATATACGTTATTGGTAACTTCCACCTGTGCATCTCCAAATGAAGAGAATGCATCAACATCAGGGCCATGTAACTGAGGATCAATATCATCAAATAACAAAGCAAAAGCCACACATCCAAGCTTCTGAACCTGACAAAAGATGAATAAAATAGTAATAAATTAAAAAAAGAAAGAACAAACCTGATACAGTGTATCTTTCTGTTGCTAAAGCCTCTTGATCACTGTAAACCTCATGTTGTGTCATGTAAGAAGGCAGGATTACTCTTGAGGTTGCCATGCTTTTGAAAGTTTTTCGTGATACACATATCTTTTGACAAAATAGGGCTTTTTATGGGAGGGAATAAAACATTTTAAAATATGAAGCTGTCCATGCTGAGAGCACAGAAAGGATACCTTTTTAAAAATGTTTTCATGACCTTTAGCCTATTTCCAAATAATGCTCAATGGCAAAGCTACGAAAACTTGAACCGAGTCATTAATCTATGACTACATGTAGTAGTAGCCGGTGGCTAGGAAATGCGTGTGAAGATGTGACTGATGAAAACCGCTTTCATAATGTGTAAGCCCTTTTAGTTCCAGTGTCAACAAAAGGATATCACTGCCGATCATGAAAACTGCATTGAAAAATGCAGTAAACAAGACTCATATTTTATTCAATGATTTTATTCACATTTGCTTAGATACAATTAGCCTGCTTATACTACTACATGCAAAAATTACAAACCTCTTGCGGGTAGTAGTATAAACAACTAATAGCATGATTTGTGCGTGATATTTGGCATAAATACCACTAGTGATATTTCAAAATTGTCTCAAATTTCACTTGCCTAACGGCTCGTGAAATTGCGTATAACAATTTCGAAATATCACTCGTGGTATTTATGCCAAATATCACTACAAATCATGCTATTACCTATACAAATAGTGAGGACTGAGGAGAGGGTTGTATTCGCTGGTAAAACAGTAATGCGTGACACAAGACATAGACATAGAAGTGCATGTTTACAGTCATGACTGTACAAAATCTTATTTAACTTCAATTGAATATTCAATTCATTTCCAATGACCAAAGGCTGTTGATATGCAATAGAAAATAATGAAACAGCTCAAATTACCACGGAAGTTTAAAGCTTATTGAAGCTTTCGCTAGGATGACAAGTGACGTAACGTAAAATGCTTGGAAATGTATAAAAATGTAAAAACCATGTACTGTTGTAAAACCTGAACAAACTTACATCGATTTCTGGACTTTGCTAACACTCGTATATTACCAAAAACTTGTTACGCACTAAGTCTGGATCACACTCTACTTTCATTTTCCTGGGTAAATAGATTCCAGGCTGGCATAGCGAATTGTACAGTCTCACATTTAGTACAGTACTTGTGTACCTGAATAACGTGTGTTTGGGAATCGAATGTAATAACAAGTGTTGCATCACTTGCATTTGCATTCACATGATTACCTTGACATCATACGGACCTTGAACTCAACACCGGGGCCTTTTCGGCCACATACCATGCATGTTAGTGGGAAGAACATGGCAATGCCAAGAATGTGGATAGATTGAGATAAATCTCGCTATACAGTTAATAAAGTGCTGCTGATCAAGTCAAGATTAGGCTGTGGGCTCCTCTTGTCGCCCACAATTACTATTCATAAATGTAGTTAATCAGTGGGCAACCAATTTCAGGAACTGCTCTATAACAACTGAAGGCTGCACGCAAGTAGCTTTAAACCTGTAGTTATATATGTCATACCTGATCCATTTTCCTTTGAAGCAAATGAATGTCTCTTGAACTTGAAAATGAAATATCCAGACCAGGAGACAACGCATAATAGAATGTTATTCCGCATTCCTTTGAAGATGCTATCAACTGCTTTAAATTTTCTGAAAACAAGCAAACAAACAATCTTGCTATTTCTATGTCTGTACTCTTTGTGAATTTAAATAACTTTAATCAAGAACAATCAAGTAAAATTTCAACTGTATACATGTATTTTAAAAACTTTCAGCTATGATTTTCATTCTTCTTTTTGGTATTCTTTTACACTGTATGCACCATAATTATTTTCTCATTACGGCCTAAAATGTGTCTAATTCTTAATTTTTAATTACAGTGTAATTCTAAATTCTTAACTCTTCTTTCTCATTCTTGATGAAACTGTGTTTCTAAGACATTGTGTCCATCATTTGAATTAAATACAAATAATTATCATTATTGAATATAATAACTACAATTTTCACAAAATGAAGTTCTTTCCTTAATAACTACAACTGTAAGTTAAACAACTCTACCTGTTTCTTCGGGACCATAAAGGTCTCTCCACAAAGCCCGATGTTTGAGATCATCTTTGGGAGCATACAAATAAGTATTCATTCCCAGACTTTTTATCCTTTAATAAAAATTAAAATAAATGATTTTAAATCAACATAAAACTACGGGGAACTTGTGGATACATAGGATACAGCTAGACATAGGCTAACTGCAGAAAGGTGATCTTCAGGCATCATTTTGTGAATTACATATGCAGGTGGTGTAAGGAGCTGTTTTCGAAGCAGGTGATGGTCTGAAGGCTGATTGGGCGATTATGTGCTCCCTACTCTCTACTTCTATACTGTCAGATAAGAAGATACTATACTGCTCAAATCATGCTAAAACTTCGTAGAACGAAAGACAACAACACCAAGTAACAATATTAATACTTTGAAGATGATGTGAACTGCGAAAATACAAATCTTGAATGATGATCTGATCGTTGCAGTGGTTATTGCAATTTAAGCAATTGCAAATAAACCCGAAAAAAGTTTTCTGGACATCAACAGGACTCGAACGCATGGCCTCTGCCTTAGCGCTGCAGTGCTATACCGTTAGAGCTATGAAGACCCATACATTGGGAGCAGGCCAATTGGTTGAGTTAATCTTAAAACTGTGAAAGGAATGAAACATGAAGACAATGTGAACTGCAGAAACACAAACTTTGAATGAACATATGATTGTCACAGTGGTTGTCACAATTCAAGCAATTGCAAATAATCCTGAAAAAATTTTCGGTACTCAAAGGCCATGGGTTCAAATCCTGTTGAAGTCCCAAAGATATATTTCAGCTTTATTTGCAATTGCTTAAATTGAAATAACCACTGCGACAATAATATTGTCATTTCACACAAAATATTTATACTTCATCTCATTTGTCAGAACGCATCCTAATCTGGTATTCCTGTGGCACAGGCAACTGCTGATAAGCCACTCCTATTTATTTTATCAGGACATTCTGTGTTTGTTTAATGCTACTCTGCAATTTTCATTGATTTTGCCTTCAACCTGCCCATCCCTCTTGGCATGATAAGTATTTTAGTTTCTACTGATTTTCAGTGACAGTGCGTGGTAGTTGTCCCTCCACCTTGTTCAGGCACCATTCCCCATGCTCATCTATTGTTGATGGGTTTAATTCCTATACTAGTCATAACCAAAGGTTAGGGAGTGTGGATGACAATGATTGGAGGTCCAAATGCTTTTGCTCCAACCCTGGGCTTTGTGTAGATTTCACTTGACAGATGGTCAAAAGACGCGTGATAAGAGTACAAGGGGAAGAAGGTCGATACATACGTGATCAAATTGCAAGTCCAAACGAATACTGGCTACAGACATGTGACGCATGCACAATAAGAACCCGGGCTGGGTTGTTCAAAGATGGGTTTAGATGACCCAAGGTTAGTGCGAAAGTGGAATTCAGATATGAAAGCTTAAAAAGTTTAATTCCCTTTAATTCTTTTTCTCAACAAGTTGATGATTGGATACTCTTAAAAAAAAAAGAGAAAATTATCTAAAAATTTTTTGCTTGAACAAAAAAAAAAGAAACCCGGCTTACCTTACACCCTGGGCGCTAATCGGCCTTCGAACAACAAGGCCCAGTTGTTCCAACGCGGGTTGGTGCTAACCCAGGGTTAAATTTTAACCCAGGCTTCTTTTCCTTTTCATCAAAAGTAGTCTCTCGGATAATTCTCTATATATATTTTAGAGTATCAAATGTGACCGTGCACGGGAAAACGTACCTTAACGCTTATCCGTTAAATGCTCTCTAACGGACGGATAGCTAATGGATTGTTAACGGCCTTCACAGCATTCTAACGTTTTGTCCTAACGTTCTAACGGTTATCTAGTTGTGCCTAACGGATGATCAAAACCTTCTAACGCTTTCTCCTAACGGTCTAACGGCCAACTAAGTATGTCTAACGGATGAAGAAAATGTTCTAACGGTTACGCAGTTTGTTCTAACGGATGACTGGAGCCGTTTAACGGTTGTCTAACGCTCTACATCTAGGGACTTTTAACGTTTGTCTAACAGTTTACATCTAAGGACTTTTGACAAACGAATAGCGTAACAGTTACTTTCAGTCCGATGTTATAAACACATGATCGTGCAAAACCATTACTAGTCTTACACTCGCGATTTAAAAAAAAACGAGTTATAAAGTGCCGATTTCATCAGTTGTCGATGAGACAAGCATTAAAAAAATTATTTCCACGGTGAGCATTAATCGAGAGCAAAACTCAGGGATATAAACTTTCACTTTCTCATCGAGACGGAGAAACTCAGAATTCGAGTCCTTTATATCGTGTGAGAAGCAAACCTAACGTCGCTAAACCTGTGTGTAAACAATTTTAATCGCCAGTCGTGGGGAACATTTTTTGTTTTACTCAAATGGATTTGTCGCTTGTACTTATTTTTACACCATGACTCTGTCAAGAGTTTTTCTAAAGTAACTGTTTTACCTGGGCCAGCCGTGGATTCACGAAAGATTACGCTTTCTATCTTGACCGAGCATGCGAAAAGCGCTGCCTTTTGAAGTCACGAGTCTCGAAGCGACGACGTGTTGGCGCTGGTTTCACCAGATAAAGTTGTTTTCGTCACATGCATGTAGTTTAAAATTAGTTTCGTCTGATTCAGAGTTAGACAAAAGTCTATCAAAATATTCATCAACCTTTCCGCCGGAATGTGGCCGTTTCTCACATCTTGGAAAATGTAAACAACTTTATGCAAATTTTTGAACCCGCACTTTGTGAATTGAAACCAAATAATATTATTCTACTTCAGTTCGAACGACAAAGACCACTTAATTATTTTAATGATTGCAAATAGCGATTAAAGGAAACGGAAGAAGGTTATTGATCATTTGGGATCCCACCTGCAGGTCGTAGCAATCGCCACAAATTAGCATTTTGACAACCATTGTTGCGTGATTTAAACACGAGCACAAGTTCTTGACATGACTTGTGATCAGTGTTTACTTGAACCCTTTATTCATCGCAATAGCCATTTTGGTCGAGCTTTCTCCGTGTTTGTTTTATCCTTTTATGGCATTTATAAGATATTTTTAACTTTCCTTTCATCAGAAATTACAGTACAAAATACAAGCTCTCGAAACAACCGGACTTTGCCGAATAAATAAACAGTTCATATAATGTCGATCGTTGTTATGATTTTACTTTTCGCAAACGTGGTTTGTTTTTGGATCGTGTATAATAATTATAGTATGAAGGCCGTTGAACGGATGCTAGTTTATTCTAACGGATCCTAACGGCTTCTCTAGCCGCATTAACGGATGCAGAGTTTTTGCTAACGGTTATGCTGACCCGTCTAACGGTCCGATGCTAACGGCTAACGGATACATGTCTCTTGCTAACGGTTACACTGTCCGTTCTAACGGCCTCATGCTAAGGTCTAACGGCTGGGCTAACGCCTCTAACGTTCTTAAGAAAACTTTCTAACGGATGACTAACGGATGCTTAACGCTTTTGCTTGTCTAACGGATAAGCGTTAAGGTACGTTTTCCCGTGCACGGTCACAAATCATCTAATGGTAGACAACAAGAATTAATTGTCTTTTGAGCTCTCATACCTGAGTTCAAATTTCGCACTAACCCTGGGTCATCTTGTAACCCAGCTTCGAACAACCCGGCCCTGGAGATTAGGATTGCGGGCTCCTCCTTGTCGCCCGCAACAAACTCTCGTATTACGCTTGGAACGTTGAAGAACAAGACGCTACAGAGCGTACACTTCGGCGTCGTTGTTGTGGAACTAATTGTAAATGCGGAGGAATAGTAAGAAATCAAATATGGTAAGAGTAAGGTGTTAATTTGTGAAATTATGGGATTTGTCAGGATATTCTGAAAAGAGCAACATCCAAGAGGCCTACTTGCCAAAAACTAGCATTTCGGGACAAATTGTCTCCGAGATATTAGCCCAGTTATGCACTGATGACTCCATACAAATCCTTCAAAAAAAAACAATTCTCTATTTTTCTTAGTCACATCAGGCTTCAAAAACAGCATAGCAGTCTCATGTACTAAATAAAGATATGTAAGGCATGGGTAAGGAGTCAATTACGTTGAGCTTGGAATTAACTAAAAATCAAAGTCACGAGTTCGAATGTTTTGAAGATAATTATTCACTGACTATCAGCACGCAGGGATGTCGGATTAACACAAGGAAGTTGTTAAAGCTCTGAAAAGATAGCCTTTACAGAGCTTTAAAACACAGCATCCGCCAACACAAACTTGACCCGAACTTTAAGTAAAACTAAACAGCCTCTACCAATAATAACAAACTGTCACTTGAACTTCGGATATCTTGCGGCTTCCGCGAACTTGTAAACACAGAGCCTGAAAATCGACCTTCGTCACACTTGACTAAACACAGCAGTCCAGTTCGTGGGAAAAAACTTAGTTCGTCAAAAGAACTCGCTTGGAACTTGTATACCGTTTGACATAAGGTTCTAGAAAATACCAAACAGGCGAATAGTAGTAGCTTTTCGACATATTTTATGATTTCAGTAACTGATGCAAATCTATGCCCTAATTAATTATTCATGGTAATCCAAAAACGAAGAGAACGTTCGAGAAAGTCACGCAACGCATGAAAGCAATTTTACTACGTAAAACTCAACAAAGACAAAATAAAATGTCTTTTTGCAGCATTTTGTAACTTTAAATTCATCATAAAACAGTTAGAAAGGAGGGCTCACTCGTGAAATGTTTTTACTCGAAGAGAAATTTTGCGTCTCTGCGCGGCCATGAAATATCCTCTATTTATTCCTCGAGTAATTAAAGACTAAACTCGAAGTGATCTCAAGATATCACGAAGTAGTCCGGTCTCATTTCGTGAAATAGTTGAAACAAGCCGAAAAGTCACGAACTTGCACGCCCAATCTTGTCCCGAAACTAGTACATCATTTCATAACTATTTTTCATATCCCAAATTACCTTGGGTCGCAGTAGCGCAATCGGCTAATCCCTCAACTTAGAATCTCCTCTGATCTGACGGGTCACACAGGTGAGTCGGTTCAAACCCCGGGAAGGCCAAAATAATAATTCTTTCTTCCTTGAAAAAGTTAAAGAATAAATAAAAAAATCGAAGGGATCTCGAGATATCTCGAATTAATTCGGCTCTCACTTCGTCAAAAAGCCGAATAAAACCGAAAACCTACAGACTTTGCATGCCCAATCTTGTCAAAAAATTGTAACTTTGATACATTCCTGAGCGTCGCGAAACCTTTACTTCGCGCTCCGCCGAAGTAATAAAAGTTGCCAGAGTCCACTGAAAAAGCGGACGGCTTACATTAAGTCTATAGGCACTTGAGATAAGTAAATACAGAGTGAAAGATATAAATTATACCTAAAATAAAAACATACAGTCAAACGAAGAGAATCAAGGTAGAATCATAGCCTGATTTTCATGGCTATAATTAATTTGTAGTTGCATCTTCTTAATTCTATTAAAGCTTTTACCTATAAAAGAGCTCTTTTCTTTGGTCATAAGTCCACGGTCTGCCATAGAAACCTGTTAACGATTTAAAAAGAGAGAGCAAGAAATTTCATCGCCATATCATAAAGCAAGTCTTCCAATTATGGCTGAATATTCGGTGCCGAGACGTTCAAAGGAAGAGGATCTAGAATAGTGGACCTCGAAAAAGGCTGAAAAAAACAGTACTCACCTTCCACTACACCACTAAGAAACGCTTCATTCTTATCTTTAGATAAATCTGAACTCATTGCAAGCCTTTTCTTTGAACTAAGACGAAATTTTTGCTTTGAATTCTTGAGAACCCGAACCCGACCAGATAACGCCTTCATTGGTGATACCTGCTCGTTCAGAAATTCACAGCTCATTACTGATTATGCGCAGTTTCGACAAAAATCAAGTTTTTCCGGTTTCCCAATATCCCGCGAACAAGAGCTCCGCGCGTGGCCTAAGGACCAGGAAGCGTCATTCGGCTGAAACTTAACTTGTAAATGGAAGGAAATTAGCGGGAAGAATTATGTTTAACTTAAGCTCGATCTCCAGCCTTGCGTTTCTCGATGAACCCCGACTGCAAGTGGGTACCCTGCGTAGGAGGCGCTTGGAAGTAATGGGCGTAGGAAAGAAGGGGGCGTGCGACAGAGACACACGTCCATGTGTACTACATGTGTACAACTGTACGGTACCGCAAATGATCCCCAAAATGGACCGCAAATGATCCCCATTGTCGACCCGTAAGTGATCCCGTGAAAAGTAGAGGAATGGAATGGATTTTAGGCATGCATGGTGAAGTGCTGAGAACTTGAACAACGCGTGGACCAATGAAATGAATCAGAAATTATAAATATCCGAACTGTTTCTCGTGGCAATTTTTTTCTCCTTTCTTTTAAACCAAATATATAGCCTCTTTGCTCACTCCTTTGACCTTGGTAAAGGCGAAGTCAAATGGGTAACAACCTTGACTTCACCTTTGACGCGCGTCTTAGATCAGTAAGATGAAGAAAAATGTTTTAACGCTTTGCTTTTCTTTTAAGGCTTGTCAAAGGCGTTAGAGCGCCGGACTTGCAATGTGGTAGTCCTCGAGTTTAAATCCTCGACCATGCTTGTAAATAGCCAGCCGGTTTGCCTCCGGCCAGTTGGGATTCTTAAGCCTGTTAAGTCCAATTTGAATTGTTTGTTTCAGGCATTTGCTAGGCCCCACTAGCATTAGTGCTATAAATACTGCCGAGGGTAAATAATGGAAATATTAATAGACATATTTAATTCTGCAAGCAGAATACTGCAATGCTGATCGTTCTACGTGAAAATTAACTCTGCAAGACATCGATTGTATGGCTACATTCCCGCTCTGTGTTGAGTTCTTTCGGTGTCGTGTTGATGTCTTGCAGAGTAATTTTCACGTAGAACGATCAGCATTGCAGTATTCTGCTTGCAGAACTTTAATAGGGCCATTCATACGAGCAAAAATAAGACGCGTCTTAAATAGGGAACGGGAATAGGGAACTGTACCATTTATACGAGCGTGTCTTATCTAATAAGACGCGTCTTAGCTAAGCCGCGTCATATTTTTGACGAAATGTGCCGTTTATACGGAAAGTTCGCGTCTTATTTTTCCTCGTATAATGTATCGGTCAAATCGAAGCTTCAACATGTCCCCCCCCCCGGGCATACCCCGGGCATTTGACACCTTTGCCGACCCGGGGAGGAGGGAATTTGATTATCAGAGTCTTCCAGGGGGTGGGGAATTTGAACTGAACCCTCGATTTCATGTAAAATCTTTGGCGTGGCGAGCTATGATGGGGGACGCGGTGTTAGAGGATTTTCGTGGAAAATATCTTTCCTCGAGGAAAGGGCTTAAACAAGCTTTGTGCTGTATTTGAAGTATTTAAATTTTAAAATTATTAATACTGGATTCAGGCTTTGAATGTATGAATGTATTTTATTGTTGTGTTTTATACAATGAAATACAATACCTATACCGGCGATTCAATACAACAACATAAAATAAAATAAAATAAGAAGCTCAGGTCAACTACTTTGACCTACTGCAACCTTGTAGCAGCGATTTCCGCCGCTTTGCACGAGACTTTTCTTCTTAGTAAATACGCTAACAGTGTTTCTCAGTTTTGTTATATTTATAAAGGTTTTGTTCGGCAACTGAAGGCGTTTCCGCCGTCCCTCTGTCAGTTTTGTGCCTGTGAAACGTCTCCGTGGTAGGGGCATGTTGATCACCTGAATGGACCATAGTGTGGGGCATTTGAACGGCATTTTGGCCCGGGTAGGGGGGAATTTGAACAATAATTTTCAAAAAAGTCAAATGCCCGGGGGATTGCCCGGGGGCATGTTGAAGCTTCGATTTGACCGATACGTAAATGGCCCTAATATGTCTACATTATTATTTTTGCTGATCAGGTCTTTATAGGTTCTACGTTCTTCGGCAGTTTCGTTTGCCGTCCTTTGCAGTCCCTTGTGGTTAATGTTTGTACTAATGGAATTATTATTATTATTATTATTATTATTATTATTATTGTCTCTATTATCACAGTCTTTGCTGGTGTTCTTTTTGTGCATCAGCCGGGCGCAAACCATGCGCCTAGAGCGTCAGTCACTCAAGTCAATCATTCTGTTCATACACTGAGCACCTTTCTGAGGATTCGTGCAGATCCCAGCATGCAGATCTTTTGAATCTCTGTCATATTAGCTCTTTCTGATACTTTCTTGATGTTTTCTACCATACCCTTCTTCACTGTACCAAGCGCACCAACAACCACAGGGATCACTACGGTTTTCATATGCCACATTCTCTGTATTTCTAGTTCTAGGTCTTTGTATTTGCATTTTTTTTCAGTTTCCTCCAGTGCGATGTTTCTATCTGATGGAACAGTCATATCAAGTTTGCAGGTGGAATTCACTGAATCTTTAACGATGATATCTGGTCTGTTCGCTGTTATAGTTCTTCTTCTTCTTCTTCTTCTTCTTCTTCTTCTTCTTCTTCTTATTATTATGTGCTGGTAACTTTGACTTTTCCTTTTACGCACGTCAAAGATGAAGTCAAAAGTGTGGTGGCTGTGACCACATCTTTGATGCTTATTAAAAATGAAGTCCGTATTGAATGTTGTCAAAGACGAGAGTAAATATACAACGAATTACTTCTACGTTTCAAACACTTATGTCGAAACTGATAAAAGGAAATTCAAAAGCTGTATTTAAATACTGTTTTAAAGAGATTTATACGATAATACCGAACACAGGCTGGTAATCATGGTAATTGCTGTTTAATAATTACTTGAAAATGTTCTGGAAAATGTACTTTTTCGAAGTGAAAAATTTCATCCTGAATGAACCATTTTCCTCTTGATCGATCAATATACCGGATGGAATGATAGCGACGAAAAAGTCAACAATGGGCCATTTGCACTAAGAGGTCATGTGACGTCGTTTTTAGGAAAATGAAAGTCATATGATTTTGCCTTCGTAAAACGATTAGCGGGTCATATCTTAAACAAAATAATAGTGATTTGGTTTTTCAAACCCGCACCATTTTCTTAAAATGAGTAAGTTCGTAACTTGTCACGTGACGAAAATGTGATTTTTAAAATTATGAGTTACCTCTTTCTGAACACAGATTTTGTACTTAAACACATTCACATTCTGAGCGTAACTTTCAAACGTTTAACAAGATATAAGCAAAAAGTAGTTTTGGCCGCCGTGTTGGAGGGCAAGAGTATGCCCTCCAACATGAGGGCGGGCAATACAAATCATACTACTTTGTTGAAAAAATCAAAGTCCCATAAAATATCTCCCTTAAATGCGTTTCCTCTCAAATTTCGAGTGTATGGTAATTTTTACGTGCTCTGTCAATTTTTGACATCAGCAAGATGCCAACTCATTGTTTAAAGGAAGCATTGGTCACGTGACCTCTTAATGCAAGTGGCCTATTGGACGATGCAAGACTGAATCTAAGCGAGACACCCTGTTTCTGGCGCGAAATTGTAAACTCTCTTCTCCCGCGCAAACAAACTAAAGCTGTGTTTTTTTTTGTAAGAAGCAATCCAGCTTTCGTTAATATTTTCACCCTTATCTTTGATACAGTTTAGACCACAAACTTGTTCAAAAGGTACGTCGTGTCATTCTCTTCTACGTGTCATGCTCTTCAGACTTCATGGTTGTTTTGATGTTTTAACTCACAGAAACCAACTCTAAACATGTAAGCGCCAATATGTCGTGCTTGGAGATTTTCTGGGTTTAAATCTGGTTCTTATACTATAAAACACCTTTCTATTTCACAGCAGAGTTTTCGTCAGATCAAGCCCTTTTTTCTTTATAGGGCTAGTGCATTTCTGCAAAAGTAACCGCTGGCTTAATATTTCATAATGCAATTCAAAACTCCATGCGAGAACCTATGAGACTTACTAATCTGCTTTTCCTAACAGTTTACTTATTTGACTGCGAGAACTACTTAGGTAATGAAAGGACTTCAATAAAAATGTGTGTACTAGACCCTGATGGACATATTACTGAAGCAAGTGCATAAGCTTATATGAATAAGATTCAGCCAGTGCATTATCAGACAAACAAAGAGGGGTCATTTGAAGACTATGGATGCCATGCCGGACGTGAGTATCTCTTTCTATTAATTTTTCTGGGTTCCATACGTACTGGAGCTCAGGCTGCACTAAGGGCAGATAAGAGTCTCATGTCGTCCTCAAATCTGTGGTCACGTGTTGACTGATGACGTAGCAGAGCAGTCGCCATTTTGGATTTTTTACCGGAGCAAAACATTGATGAAAGTCTGCTTCTCCTTCTCCGTTTGACCTAAATTTCTTTTCAAACCAAGTACTAGGCTGTCCCGTTTCCCTTCCTAGTGGTTTCAAGCTAAATTTCTCTTCAGCGCAAGAAAGAGATTAATTTCAAAATATATAGCAGCATATCGCCGCCTGGAGAACTTGGGACACGCTTTAGGTTCAATTTCTTATGCTTCTGTTCATTGATTTTAAACGGGTCAAGTATAGGGTGACAGTTTAAAAGAAGAACTTTTTTAAACAAGACATCTTGTGTATACGGTTGAAGTGAGCGTATAAATGAGAACTCTACGGGTGAAGATGGCATGGCGCTGTGGAATAAACAACATGGCGTGTAGTGATGGATCTTCAGATTTTACGAAATGATCTTATGTGGCTATTACAGCTTATGTCGTTTTTTGGCAACTTCTAGCCAGACATCAGGAGTTATCTCCAATGTCTTCCACAACAGAAGAAATCGATGGGAATGAGAATATCACCAGCGATCTAGAGGAAAAGGACCTAGGAACAAAATACAGGGAACGTGAAGAAGTTGTTCTTGTCAATGGAGGTGAAT